ATACAAGAAACAGCTACAGTTCAGAATTACGCGTCCAAACCTGTTGAGTCAGATTCGGGCTTCCTACGATTCCCGCGCAAGACATCTTTGATCCTTACGTTTCATTTCCCTTCTTGTCTGTGCTGATTTGAAAGCCTCCTCCCTTCCGGAGTCTCAGCTTCCTCCCTGAGCCTCTAGGTGGTTGAGGGGATCTTCAGCATCCCTGAGCCCCGGCTCCCCCTGACTGCTCTCCGCCCCCTGTTCTGCCTCTTCTGTCCATTACTCCTCCGAATCCTCCCTGACAGCTGGCGCCACAGAGTTGTATGGGCAGGAAAACCCACAGTTCACAGCTGGAGTTAACTCTTTATCAGCAAGAACACGATATTCACAGACTTGGCTGAGTTTCAGGCCGAATGAGAACAGCAACTCATTCCCTGAGGGTATGTGAAGGCCCCTGGCTCCCCACAGCTTTCCAAGTCCCCTCCTCTCTGGGGTTTCTGGGAAGCGATGCACCAGTGCACTAGTGTGCAGCCTGCCTTTGCTCCTCCATTGTCAGACGTCTCCTGGCTCTGAGAGACAAGCAGGGAGGGTGGCTTCTGGCAGAAGGAGAGGGAGCCCCCGGTGGCTCCTCCTTCTCCTGACTCACCTCTGCCTCTCGACTTTCCTCTCCCTCTTGCTTCCTCCTCTTCTGCCTCTGATTCTGCACTGCATTCTGCCACAGAGTCTCCCAGCTCACTAAGCCACGTTACCCCATCAGCTTCTGACACCTCCTCTTCCCAGACTTCTCCTCTTCTCCCTCTGACCGCCCCTCCTTCCTCCACCTTCACTCCTTGGGCTCTGAGCAATCTTCCCTTCCTGCTTCCCCGGCTGCTTCCTCCCACCATTCCTCTGTGCCCAACCAGTCCATGACATTGCTCCATCCCTCAGCCTCTGTCCCCACAAGGCAGCTTCCCCTGACCTGATCTGGTTCCACAGCCGCTGCTTCCCTTCTGCCCCCATGAATAGATGGATAAGGAGGTCTTGCCGGCATCATTCTGTCACCTGCAAAAGAAAAAAGGTAAGCAGGATGTCAGGAGTGCCTGCTTCTCTCACAGGTGAAACAGGGCATCTCTAACGACAGATGGGCCTTTCAGAAAGCCTTACCTGCTGAGTGCATTTGGACGTTTGTGCCCATTTCATGTTAGTTGTGCAAAACTACTTCTCCCTTCCTGTCAGAAATGAGTTGTGAGCACTCAGCGGAGATAAGAGCCCGGGAACCCAGCCATATTTACAAAGGGTTTATTTCTTCTTGACATTATTTACAGCAGTTCAAAAGTGCGACTCGATCATGGTGGGTAGTTGTCCCGACTAACTTCCTTCCGTTTTGGGGGCCAGCATAGCCAACGTCGAAGCCCAACCCCCCTCCTTCCTCTATGACGAGAGGTGCTTGCCCTCAGAAGTTCATCCTCCCTCTCAGATTCACCCCCCTCTGACCCCTCTTCGTCTTCTCCCTCTTCTGAAGACAAACAGCTGCTGATCAAAGGAGGTCTCTTCCCAGGCCCTTCTCCCTTTCTGTCTCCATTTCCCTGACACTTCCTTTGGACCCTTGGTCCCAACTGCTCCCCCCCCCAAAAAAAAAAACCAAGATGAAAACAACCCACAGATTAGTTGGGAAACCAACAGAATGAGATCAAACGGAGAAAAACCACCTTCCTCCTTACCCAGTGGCCTCTCTCTGGTGTCCAACGGAGGCCTCTCTGCCTCACAGGAATCCAGGTCCATTTCTGCAAAATGATCCTTTTCCTAAAAAAGAAACAAGGATTGAAAACAGAGAATGGGGAGAAATACAAGAAAGAAAATCACAAAGACTTGAAGGGTGTGAGATCTCATTCCATGGATGTCTTCCCAGAAAAAGGATGAGCCATCAGTAGAGCATTATGGGATGTTTTCCAGCCCCTTGGGAGTATCCAGAGGAAAGTCTCTCTCACCTGCTTTCTCTGTTCCTGCTTTCTCTCCTCTGCCTGACTCAGGAGGAAACCTTCGGCCAGGGCCACCGCCTGGGAACTGGTCTCCGCTCCACAGTCCCTCACCCAGCTCTCCATCTCCAGTGGAAGGACAGCCAGGAACTGCTCCAAGATCACCAGGTCCAGCATCTCAGCTTTCGTGTGCCTTTCTGGCTTCAGCCACTGGTGGCAAAAGTGGTAGAGTCGGCTGCAAACCTCTCGGGGTCCTTCGGCCTCCTGGCAGCAGAACCTCCTGAACTGCTGGATCTGCACCTCTGAGCGGAGGGTGTCCTCCTCATCCAGGATCTTCTGCACAGAGTTTTCCCAGAATCCCTCATTGCTCCCAGTTTGGTTGGCATGGCCTCTTCCTGCTCCAGGGCCAGCTGAGTCTTGCTCATCCATCTGTGCCCTGAGGGAGCCTCTGAGATCGGAAGGAACCCTTTGGTCTTCTGCCAAGTTCTGTCTTAATGAGAAGCTCTAGCAATTCCTACAAAGCAAATGCATTGTTACGGAATTGTTTTTATTATTCTTAGTTAATATTTTTATTTTTTTGTATAGTTGATATAGTATTATATAGTTTGTATAGTTTTGTTCCTTAGGTGAGAGGGTCAGGGCTGTCTGGGAGTGGGCCCCATCCAACAGAATGGCAGGGGCAAGTTCCCCGGGGTGGGGGTGGGGATGCACTGGGACACCTGATCACAGTGGTCACGGGTAGGAGGAAGTGTTACACCAAGACCAGACCACGTCATTGTTTGAGGACTATCCCTGCCTCCGGGTCAGGTCTTGACTGGATGGATGCTGGAATCAGCAAGGGAGACCCACGTGACCTTAAGGGTCTGCTACGCAATGCCAGGTCAATGGTTCATGAGACCACTGCCATCCACGACTTGGATGGAGGACTTGACCTGGCATGTTCACCTCTATGGATGTGGGTGATCTGACACGAAGTGAAACTAAAACAAAATAAGTGTCATGGTCAGATCACTTCCTGGTGCAACTGGACTTCTCCACGACCTTTCCCTCTGCAGGGAGGTGGGACTGATTCGGATGGCCCACCCCCACCACTTAATAGATCCAAATGGTTTCCAGAAAGGAGAAGGGGATGTTTTATCCTATGTTGATGGCCTTTCAGCTGATTTCCTTGTGGCCCCTGGAATGTGGAGTTAACCAGGGCTATCGATGGCCTGGTTCCGAAGCGACCTCTCCGATACATGGAGCCTGGACAGTGGTTTTCCCCGGAGCTGAAACAATCACTGAGATGGCTAGAGTGTTGGTGGCAGAAAACACACTCTGAATCTGACCAGATACGAGTTAGAGCTCAACGTCAAGCCTACCAAGTGATGATAGCGATGACTTTCTTCACTGCCTCTATTGCATCTGCAGAAAACAACACCAGGAGACTCTTTTAGGTGGTTTGCAATTTAGTGATTTGGCAAAGTTTTTTGCAGATAAAGTCACTCAGATTTGGAAAGAGGTAGACTCCACCGTGTGAGCAGGGCCAGGGCAGGAGAGTGCTAGAGTCCTGTCTAGTTAGGTTGTGTGGAATCAATTCAAGTTTGTTACCTCCAAGGATGTGGACGGGCTGCTTGGACAAGTGAAACTGACCACCTTTCTCCTTGATCATCCTGGCTCATAAAAGTGAACCGGGAAGGGCTGGGTGATGGGCTCTGCAGGGTGGTGAATGCTTCTCTCTGTGAGGGAGCCTTCTCAGACCCGATGAAAGAGGCAATTATTAAACCACCAGCCCAATATAGCCAACTATCACCCAGTCTCAAATTTTCCATTTTTGGGCATGGTGATTGAGCGGGTGGTTGCTGAAAACCTCCAGGCATGCCGGCAAGCTAGGGGCAAAGGGGAGAGCTGTTTCCTAGTTCTGATGGATCTCTCAGTGGCCTTTGATACCATTAACCACAACATTCTTCTGGACCGGCTAGAGGGACTGGGAGCTGGGGGCACTGTTATACAGCGGTTAATCTCCTTCCTCCTGGGCCATGTTCAGAAAGTGGTGGTGGGGGATGAATCTTCAGACCCTTGGGCTCTCACTTGTGGGGTGCCTCAGGGTTCTGTCCTCTCCCCGATGCTTTTTAACATATATATGAAGCTACTGGGAGGGATCATCAGGAGGTTTGGGCTGGGTGTTCATCAGTATGCGGATGATACCCAGCTCTACCTCTCTATTAAATCAGAACATGTGAAGGCGGTGAAGGTCCTGTGTGAGTGTCTGGAGGCGGCTGGTTGATGGATGGATGGGGGCTAACAGATTGAGGTTGAATCCTGACAAGACAGAAGTACTCTTTTGGGGGACAGAGGGCGGGCAGGTGTGGGGAACTCCCTGGTCTTGAATGGGGCAACTGTGCCCCTGAAGGACTAGGTGTGCAGCCTGGGAGTCATTTTGGACTCATAGCTGTCCATGAATGTGCATGTCAATTCTGTGTCCAGGGCAGCTGTCTACCAGCTCCATCTGGTACACAGATTGAGACCCTACCTGCCCGCGGACTGTCTCGCCAGAGTGGTGCATGCTCTAGTTATCTTCCGCTTGGACTTCTGCCATGAGCTCTATGTGGGGCTACCTTTGAAGGTGACTCAGAAACTACAACTACCGTAACCCAGAATGCGGCAGCTAGACTGGTGACTGGGAGCGGCCACCGTGATCACATAACACCAGTCCTGAAAGACCTACATTGGCTCCCAGTACATTTCTGAGCACAATTCAAAGTGTTAGTGCTGACCTCGAAAGCCCTAAAGGGCCTCAGCTCAGTAGACCTGAAGTAGCATCTCCACCTCCATCATTCAGCCTGAGGTCCAGCTCCGAGGGCCTTCTGGCGGTTCCCTCCCTGTGAGAAGTAAGGTTACAGGGAACCAGGAAGAGGGCCTTCTTTTTACTGGTGCCCGCCCTGTGGAACAGCCTCCCATCAGATGTCACGGAAATAAACAACTATCTGACTTTTAGAAGACATCTGAAGGCAGCCCTTTTTAAGGAAGTTTTAAATGTTTGATGTTTCATTCTGTTTTTAGTATTCTATTGGGAGACACCCAGAGTGGGTGGAGTATAAATATCATCATTATCATCATTATTATTGGAACCAGGGCTGGACTGCACCACAGCCCAAACCATGAGGCATCTGGAGGAGGAGGAGGAGGAGGAGGAGATGAAGAAAGCAGCCTCTAGCTCACCTAGCTCTCCTAGCTCCTAGAAGAAAGATTGCAATGCAAAATGTGGAGGCAACTGAAGGGATTTCTGGGAGAAGAATCAGGCTGGTTTCTCCTGCCTTCCAGTCAATGCATGAAGTCAGAACTGACTGACAAGGAAGTCATTTGTATCTTTTGAAAAATGGATACTTGGCTCTAGTGGGGGTCCTCACCCGGGGGTCCTCAGGAGTTGCTCCCCCCACCCCCACTCCCCTGCTTCTGTCTCCTTTTCTTGCACTTGGACTCTCTGCCGCTCTCAAGACAGACTCCTGGGGTGGGGTCCCTTTTCTTTTGCTCTGAGGGCCAGGAATGTATCTGGACAACCCCCTGAGGGCCACGTTCGCAGGAGGCCAAAGACATCTCCCTTGAAATTTAGGCTGGCAATTTATTATGATTATTCTATTCGATATCTTAACACACACACAGCCATTGATGCCAAGGTCCCTGGAGGCTCAGTGAGTAGCAGCGCCCATTTCCGGCTGCTTTGCCAGCAACAATCCCTTTGGGACAGAGAGGATGTGGTCCTGGGATGCCCTGCTCTGGGTGCGAGGGGATTGCTGCAGTGGCCTCTGTGGGGAGCTGCCCTGGGAGACACTGGGAAACTGGTCCCCAATGCAGCAGCCAGACTCTGGGCTGGGATCCCTCTCTTTATTCCTGGCCTTTCTTTCCCAACTTTCCTTCCTTTCTCCTCATGAGTTTTTTGGGGGGCAGGGGCTAGCCCATCTCCTCGTCCAGCTTTGGAAAACAATTTGCACATGTTTCCTCTGTTGTGCAATGACGCTGAGCGATGTCACACAGAGTTATAGTCCCAGGGACTCCTTTGTGTAAAGAAGGGAGATCTTTTCTGAAAGGGGGGGGGGCGGAAGGCCAAATGAGTTTGGGATCCTCTGATCTGCAGGAAGGAGAGCGTGGCAGACCTGGCCCCTCCCTGGCAGGACCCTCTCCTCCCTGACTTGGGGTCCCCCCAGCCCCCTCCCCTGCTGCAGCCCTGGGAACCCCACCAGATCCCAGAGAGAGAGGAGACTCACCAGATCCCAGGAGGGAGGCTAGACAGGAGCAGTGTGCAGCCCTTGCAGCAGAGACACCAAAGCAGGAAAGGACTGGGGAGGGAGGGGCCTTGGCTCTGGAGGACCTGGCCCCCCCTTGCTTCCTGGCCTCTCTAGGAAGGCAGCTCACTTCCCTTTAACCCTTGCCAAGCCGAGTCCACCCAGCTCAGCCCTCTCGCCCTTGGCAGAACCTCAGATTTTTATTATTTTTTATGGATTTCGGGGGGGCAGCTGCCCTCCTGGCTACGCCAATGCCCAGATATCCTTTTGGGTTCTTTTGTTTTTTTTAAATAATGTTTATTACTTTTATAGATTACAAAAAGAGAAAAAAGAAGAGAAAAAAACAAAACAAAACAGAAAAAAAGACAAAGAAGGAAAGCAAAAAGAAAAAAACAATACAATACAATATATAAACAATACAAAACACAACCTAAACTCAAAACTAAACACATTAAACTAAATTAAACAAACCCCACTCCCTAGCCTTAACCCTAAATGAAACAAAACAAAAACAATTTAAAAACATACATCATCTCTTTTCCGTACTCTATCTTTCATTCCCTTGTTTCCTCGACCTCCTCTCACCTCCCTTTTGTATTCCACTTCTTTTAATTGTTTCAGCAAATCCTTTCCATCTTTCTCCATTTTCTATCATATTGTAAATAACGTATTTTTTAACCTTATTTTCCATTAAAACTAAAATACTTATATATACTTAACTCCTTATAACATTTCTGCTAAGCCCATAAAAAATCATTCCACCATTTTTCTATCACTCATTAGTTTTACCATAAGTCTATATATAAACTTTAAATTTTCCAATCTTCTTCCACCATCTCCTCTCCCTGGTTTCGGATTCTGCCAGTCCTTTCCGTCAACTCCATAAAGTCCATCAACCTGGTGATCTTATGTCCAAGGCTCTTAACTCTTTTCCAAGTCCCTTCTGCAGGTCTTCTTCATTTTCTTTAATGCTAAAGAGCAAATCTCGGGGAAACTCCAACCTGTCAATCCTTTTCTTCCTTCTGAACAAATCAGCCAAATTTCCATAGTTAAAGCTACAGTCCATAAAGTATTTCAGGGCATAGTCCATGTCCCAAAAGTCAGTTAATCCCTGCATAGAGGGATCTTTCCAACTTTCCTTCTTTCGTCCAAGCCGGGGTCCATTCCTCAGAGTCTGACTTTTCCTAGATTCAATCATAAAAGGCCTCAACTTATAGTCCTCAATTTGCTTCTGTAAAGCCACGGATCTCACTTGTATTACTTTATGTTCAACTTTATGTTCAACAACAGCAGCATTCTCCTTCTCCTCCTTCTCCTCCACCATTTGTCCTGCCAAAATGGATTCCTGTACCAAGTCCTGAATTATTTCTGTATTGATGTTCGCTTTTTGACTCAAATTAGTCACTTTCTGTTCCAAATTATCAACTTTAAAAGTCATGTCATCCATCTTCTTGTGAAGCTGTCCCAGCGAACAGCTTATCTTACATAAAACAGTCACAATGGCCTCTCCTGTCAACATTTTTAAATGGTCCAAGGTCGCTCTCTGGTTCTCAGAATCCTTATCTGCAGCTGGAAATCCCCCAGTTACAGTCCTGTAACTGTTTCAAAAGCTCCCTCTAGAGGGAAACAGTCTTCACTTGTATCAGTTCTTTCAGGCACAACTCCAGCATTAAAGATAAAATTTCAGTTACTTTTCCTCTTTTTTAAACGCAGAGGAGGACAATGGAAACAGTATCTTACTCTTATTTAGCTAGCTGTCAAATCCGTTCTGTCAAATGCACTCTCTCCAAACGTCATCTGGCAGCCCGTTCCAGGTTCAGAACAGTGGTAATTTGATTTTTCACTCTCTCCTGCAGGCTCACTAGATCCAAAATTTCCCCTTCTTCTCCTGCTTCCAAGGGGGGTTTTGTATTTTAAACCGATGGAAATTTAATCCTTTGCCAAAAGCTTTCAAAGACTTTAACTTGTAACGTCTTTGCTTCAGTCTATTTACAAAAACGGGAGGCGGACTTCCTGTTTATGACCTCCCGCTTCAGTGCCAAATTAAAGTATTTAAAAATCCAATTTTCCGATTTACTCACGAGTAGTTGTTTAAAATCCAATTGTCCACAGGAAAAGTCAGCGCTCTCCGGCAACAGCAAT